AGTTCCCTAAGTTAAAACAGCTGTTTCCCATCTAACCGATTTCCGGGCATTCTGATTAGAATCGAATGGATTTTTGCTAAAAATGAAATACTGAAATACTAATTTAATTATAAAAATACCCTATTTTATGCAAAAAAACTTAAAAATTATAGAAATATATAAATGTCAATGCAACTACAAATATTAAATGTCGATAAGGAACGCCGATGAGCCCGTCAAAAAAACCTAAACTCTTCAACCACGAACTAATGCCTCTGTCCTTGTTTAACAAACGCTGAGTGAGCGTGACATCGGACTTACGTTCGTCTTAGATCCGAATGATTGTGCCCTAACCTAGAGGTTCCTTGGATTACATACGAAAAAGAAAATAACAATTGTATTGTATGTGCTTGGTTCAGAATTTGATGACGCAACTATAAATGTTCCCCGCAACGACTTTAGTCTTTTTTAACTAATTTATTTTAAATTTTAAGAGAGTAACTAATCGTCTTGTGTTATTCCAAAAACAAATAATATCTTAAATCTGTCAAATCTGAATTGCATATTCCGCTCTCGTGAAACCGTCAAACTCGCCTTCGGCTTGTGTGACAAACTCTTCACTCGAGCGGAATATGCTATATTCCAAACTTGTTACAGAATATACTTTTATAACCTTGTTTACAGGTTACTAAGGATTTTGACACTTTCCTTAATTTGACTTTTGTTGACATATAAATCCTGTGTTTGTTATATGATTAAAATATTGAACAATAAACTCTAAAAGATCGATGGGTTGGTGTAAACTATAATGAAATTAAGGCAAGTTTGAATAAATAAGGTCTTTTTATATTTTAAAGCACTTTTTAATTTCAAATGTCAAATTCTAAAATTCATTATATTTTCTCACTAAATATAACTCGTGGACCTTTCGTGGTATGATTAATAATCGATGATATTTACTCATTGAAACCGAAGCAGCACATTTTACTCGTCCTGCGGACTCGTGAAATCTGCAGCTCGGTTTCAGTTCGAAAATATCATCGTACCACTTGTTATATTATGGGTGACAATTAAAACAGCATTGTTTTATAACGAAATCCTGTTTTTTAAATTTATATTTAATGTTTAATGAAATAGCATTTAAAAACTCTTCGTTTTATTAGTCAAATTTATAAAAATCTATTGTTTACCCCGTATTTTATTTTGCTAATTACGGGTTTTTGTATTGCCATAGGCTAAAAAACGCGATATACCGTAAAATATGGAAAATCTGGTAAACCTACTAAGAACATATTATTAAAGGCTTTTATTACAAGATCGATGACTTTCTGCCAAAGTATCGCAAGCAACATAACTTAAATTTCAGGAATTGAAAACATTTTTTGTTTTAAAGTCTTTTTTAATTAAAAATGGCCTAAAGGTTTTAGAACAAGTAAATAGCTTATAATTTTAGCTATTTACTTGTTATAAAACTTATGGGTTATATATGGTGTAAAACAGACTTTAAAACAAAACAAAATTTCAATTACCGAAATTTGAATTATGTTGCTTGCGATACTTTGGCAGAAAGTCATCGATATATTTATATTCAAGTATTCCAATATAGGTATCTTATAATCTTCATTCGTGCCAAATAAAAGCTTTGACTTGTTCAATGAACAATGTTCATCACACTACCTACTAAGGCTGGGAATCGATTATGAATAATTCGAATATTCGAGTATTCGAATAGAGGTGGAAATCGGTTATAAATTATTCGAATGTTCGAATACTCGAATATTCAAATATTTGAATCTTGAATATTAAAACACTTTAAATCAGTATAATATGTAAGGGTGGTGCAAAAAACTTTTTTTCGAATATGTAAATTTGTCATTTTTATTAAAAAAAATTAGGAGCTCTCTCATCAAAAATTAGGTGGCTTTCGAATTTTGAAAATTACAAAAATAATCAAATTTGAATTAAAAATATTAATTTTTTCGCCACAGTTAATTTAAAAAAAAAATAGATATAGTCGCTTCGTTTTGGACACTAGCGAAAAGCAATTAGTAATTTTTAATTACTCATTAATAGGTATTCGTAGGCAAAATTTGCGGCAGCCCGCTGCTTTGACGTGCAATTTTAATTTAGAATTTCTAACCAAAAAGCCCGAAATCCGAAGGTAACTTGCCTATGTTAGATATTAGATATTATCTAGGGTGTAAGTAGATTTTGCTTCAGGGCTGAAATTTTAAGAATATTGCAAAAATTTACCGTGGAAAGCAAAAAATGTTCGAATTTTATGTAATTTTTTGAATTTTTAAAATTATTGTGCGTCAATTCATTTTCTTTTAATCAATTGAGCTAATTTTTGAAAAGAGCTTTTAAACCATGATAAACTAATATTATTTCATAGGAGACTCGAAAAAAATGCGGAGAAAAATGTACAGCCTAGAGACTCAATAATAACTTTTTATAATAATTATTATTATTATCTGTTTGATAAGCAAAACAACAGATAAAGTTTTTATTAAATCTCTAGATTGGCTCAAAAATATCTAAAACTAGTCAAACTTTACTATACCTGGTAAATATTTTAATATTCGAATGCTTAAAAATTCGATTTTTTGAATATTTCAATATGTACTCGATATTCGAATATTCAAATATTCGAATACTCGAATCATGGAGCCTACACAAGGAGCCCGAACTTAATAGGGAAAATTGACAAAACCTGCCCTCTAAATTGCACAAATTAAGTCTTTTTTTTCACCACCTGCGGCGCTGATTGTTGATGCGTCCTGACGTCTGCTAATTTGGTAGCGTTTCGGTACAAATTAGTCAATTGTTTCAGAATAAACGGGACACCAGCGCCTACTTTCTTTAGGAAGATTCTTGTTTACATGCAGTTCGGACTCCTTGAATATTCGAAATAATTTTCAAACGAGTATTCGAATTTCTAAAACTAAAAACTTCCCTGCCTTATTACCTACTATTTATTTCATAACTAAAGTATAAGGTGTTACCGGTAAATCTTTTTTATTGTGATGAGTTTATATTAGCATCTTAAAAAAGCTTATAGTAAATAAGTAGTAATTTAAAACGGTACCAAAGGGTACAACAAGAACTATATTATTTTTGTGCTTTTTGTAAAAATGCCTGAACAAAATGCTACAATAGCATGGGTTATATAGGAAACTAAAGAATTTAAAGTTTTCCTCGAATCTATCGTTGGAGAAGATCTAGTTATTTTTTTTCAGGAAAATTTTGAATTCCAGATCAATGGTATTTTTTTAATTCGACTAACGCGTCATATAGATTTTTCTTGAATTAAAAATTTGCCAGATAGTAGATATCAATAAATTCTAACAAGTACAAATCTGAAGAAATTAACTATGGTGAATTTACCATACTTAACTCCTTTAGATTTTGCAGGAATTCTTCTTGCGGGATGCCGATTATAATCGGCGATAATATAAATAATTATTTATGAGGAAACCACTTGTGGTTGTAATATTTATCTGCTCACCATCAAGGCCGTAGCTAGAAAAAGGTTTCGGGGGGGGATTGGTTAATAAAAAAACGAATGCAACAAAATACAGATTCAGTATACTTGCAAGGCATTACCAAATTATTACTTTATTTTAAAAACAATTAGAAAATTTTAAGTGCCTAATAATTCTAGGTTTTAGGTGGTTTGTTCCAAATTAAATTGTCATTTAAAATACGCTGTGTCTGCAGCAGGGATGTTGCGGATGCCGATTTTTTCACATCCGCGGATGTGAATGCGGATGCGGATTTTTGAAGGCTCACATCCGCGGATGCCGATGCAGATGTCCAAATCTATGCGGAAGCTCCGCATTTGCGGATGCGGATGCGAATATTCGCAACATCCCCGTTATCTACCTATACGTCGTATAGTATACGATAAGTAATCCACAGCGAAAACAAACACGTAATGATTTATATACAAGAATCAAATGATGCACCACAACAAATGCTCTCATTGGTCATGATCACGTGCGCACTGCGAACGGCACGCGCTATTCGCCGGCCCCGCCCAATTTCTTTCTTGTGGCCTTGTATAACATTCGCATCCGCATTGATTATTGCGGATGCGGATGCGGATGCAGATGTCCAAATCTATGCAGAAGCTCTGCATTTGCGGATGCGGATGCGAATATTCGCAGCATCCCTGGTCTGCAGTCCCGATGCTGGACTTAAGTTCGATCCCGACTGACGTCATTATAATTGTAACGATAAAACTAAAAACAAACCAGCAATCCCTATCCAACACCCAACCTAACACTTTTTAATAAATAAATATATTTTTAATTACATATTATATTATAATATTACATTACCGTAGCAAAATGGTGATGAGGGTAAATATTCTAAAATATTGATGTAAAATTTAATAATAATGCTTGTATATCACCAGTGCAATAACACTGTTTTGATGAACATAAATAAACATTATTATTATTATTATTAAATTTAAACAAAAGAAATATAACTTACTTAAAACATAACTAAACAACATGTAGTGCACTAGTATAAACAAATATTTTCAAATCATCATAAATAAAAACTCAAACTAAACAATTTAAAAAACAATTAAATTTCGTTAGGTATGTAAATTAATAAAATAAAAAAGTTTTGGAAGCGACAAGTATCGAACCCGCATGCTAAGCGAACGCAAATCAAATCAATTTTTTTTAATATAAAATATACAAATTAAATTTTTTATGAATGGTTAAAAAAAATTAAAATAATTGACTAACAGATGGGTATTTGAGATTTTTTTTAAGTTAACGTTTATAAAACTTACAAACATGTAAATTAGACAAACACTGCACTGTATTTTTACTTAAGTTGTGTTTTCACACTTTTAAAAATCGATTTCAAACAAACACATGCTCGATCGGATTTTGATTTGGGCTACGTATGGGTCAGTTTATTCTCCATTTGATTTAAATAACCATTTATCGCATTGTTCCTATTGTGTTTTATCACAATTTTTAACTTTTATACTTTTAAAGGTGGATTGGAAAACCCACGATCATCCGTGATTGGTCTGTTTCGACGGGAGAGCATAGGATCGGAACCGATAAGCAGCACGGACTCGACACCTCAAAGGGAACGCCGTGGTTCAGTAGGCCGCAACACAGTAATCCTTATCGAAGATGGCGCCGACTCCGATCCCCTGGGTGTCCTTCAGAAACAGCCGACGACGTCTTCAATACCAACGTTGCCACAACCTCCGCAGACTCCTGGACAACGACGTCAAGTACGACGCGGGTCCATGCTGGAGCTAAGCGGGTGTGTTGATGAGATTCATATTCATATGTGAACAAATTACACGACGCAACGTAAGAAACAAACCTATTTTTTCTATGGATGTTGGGTTTGCATCACTAACATAACTGTTATCCTGCACGTCTTCTTGGATCGCAACTAAGTTTTTAATACTATCGCTTAAACTAACAACTAATCAACTAATATAATACTACTACTGATACTAAATTGTTTTATAAACATTATGGACATTGATTATATCTTGATAATGGGACTAGTGTTAAAAACGACGAATAAAACAGGCTTACGTTACTTACTATTTGGGGTTCATGTAAAGTTAAAAGTTACCTGAATAGAAATATGTTTTGCAAACTATAAAATGTTTTAATTAAAATAACTGTTAGCTATTAAAAATTACACCATCGATAAAGTTAAACCATACTTGTAATGCGCTGAATCAAAATCATATCTCTTAATTGATCCTTTATGTTAGGTTTGCGATAAATTTTAAGTCAAAAAAGAAAAATAAATAAATAGTAGATTGTTCTAAAGGGGGTCCCAACGGAAGGTTTAATTTTCAATTAAGAATGATATTTTTATAACAAGGTGGAAAATTTTTCGACGCCAAGGGAAAGTACTTCATATTAATATTAAGCGCTGAAACTGACAGGGTTTTTTTTTTATTGTTACAACAAAAATTTAAGGCGGGAGTGAAAAAAAAATGTTTTCGACAAAAGTGTGCTGGTTGGTCAGTTATAATTAGTAGTTAAGTGATTAGTTAGTTTTATAGTTTCTTGCATTCTTTCATTCCAGATAAGTTTTAAAAATAAATGATTTAGTTCGTTAATAAACCAGTGCGTATTTTATTCACACTTTCGAACCACAAAAACTTTACATATATCATTATATCTCCTAAAAATTTCAAGCAATTTCGAATTTATAGAAAAACAATTATAAAAACAGCGATTTTTTAAAAACCGATCGGCTTTGTTTGGTCATAAATAGGAGTAATCAATAAAAATTTATCTTTAGACTTAGTGGCATACACATTTTTTTTGCTGCCACAACCCTAAAAGAACATTTAAAATGAAGACCGTATACTGCTACTTCTATAGGACGTCACAATGCAAGTTTGGATCCCTATGCAAATATCGCCATGAAGCTCGTGAAGGATTCCCGAATGATCGACGAAAAAAATCAAATATACGTGGAAATAAATAGACTTTTGTACAATATTGATACATTAATAATTATTATGGCCAAAGCCAAATTAAAAATAATAAAAGACACACCTAAGAAAAAAATAGAAAATACAAAGAGAACAAAAGCTTGAAACAAAAAACACAGCAGAAATAGATAGAATAAGAAATGAAAAATATGCAGGCAACAGAGACATTAATAGGGCATAAGAGAGCTGTGAAAAAAGAAACATGGTGACAAATTTGAAAGAAAAATAAAAAATAAAAACACAGCAAGTAAGAAATGGATAAACACAGGAAGGATTAAAGGACTGAAAGACTATAAAAATAAAAGAAAAATATCAAAAGCATGCTGCAGAAAGAGACTAAAATAGAAAATAATAAAGACAGCAAAAAAATTTACAACACCATAAAAAACCTATACAAAACAAAGAAACCAACAGTAAAAATAGAAATTGGAAAACACAATTCAAAAATCTCTACAGGAAAAAAAACTGAATAAAGAACAGGAATGGAAGACGAAGTAATAAACGACATAACTAAGAAAGACATCCGTTGTACAAGGAGTTCACAGATGTCATTAAACATATAAAAAATAACAAAGCGGTAAGACCAGACGAAATAAAAAACGAACTAATACATTGTTAGGTTCAAGATTACGGGAACTCATATTAATTTAGGTTGTTTTATATTTCTTAGAAATTTATTTCAATAACTTGCAGACTTAAAAATATTGCTCTATATTATTTGAACATTTCAAGGATAGGGTAGAGTTTTTATGTCGTACACGTGTTAACCATTTCTAAACCATCATAAAAATCGCAAGACATACTTGCCCAGGGTACCGAAAATATAACTGCGATTTTTATGAATCACCATTTTTACTAAGAAACACTGTTACATTTTAAAATTTCTAAAAGTTGTATTTAGATTTTTCTGTCAACCAATCATTATTAGACTTAGGTTTTTGTTTAGGCCCATTAAGGGCAGTCATAACATAACATAACATTTTGGTATAATATCAAAAGAATAAATTAAACGTTCAACTAAGTGTTTGTTTTCAACTAATTTCTAATTAACTACGTTCCACATCGAAGTGTAACGTGAATGCAACACAACATATGGTCCTTCGAGCCGGATTCCAAAATGCGTGTGACAATAATTTAACGTGCTTCATTAACCACACAATTCATCCACGGCCGATCCAGGTGTATACAACTATCCAAGCAACACAGACCAGCGGTCCAGCACAATGTTGGAATCAGGGGGTAAGCCACATCACCAATTAAATCCCCTTCTGCACATTTGCCTATTTTTATTGTCAAAATGGTTAGAGATCTTTCTACATTTAAACGCATACGCGGTGAAATAATGAGTAAGATTAGGCGACAACATTCCTGTAACTCCGGTGAAGAAACTAAACCTGATAGGGATATCTTAGAAGTCAAACTAGAAGCACTAATGGAGGTTTTTAAAAAGATTTATCTTATAACGGATGAGCTAATAAATGTCGATCCTGAAAAGGAAAGGTGATATTCGGAATGTACCGAAATCGAAGAAGACTATTACAAAGCCGTGGCTGCAACGCAGAAATTAATTCATAAAGCGAAAGAGTTATCTTCATCTGTCTCAACTTCTTCAGGCACTCGTGCCTCAGTTAATACCACAGCTCAATTTAATGCATCTGTCTCATTACCGCAACCAAAACTACCTGAAATCGCTTTACCAAAATTCAACGGTATGATCGAAAATTGGCAATCCTTTCGAGATAAATTTCAATCACGCGTAGGGAACAAAGCAAATATTTCCAATACTGAAAATTCAGTATTTACAATCAGCGCGCTGCAGCGGTAACTGACAAAGCAGCGCGTGCTATTGAAGCAATAGAAACCACCGAAGACAACTATCAAGTAGCTTGGGATATCTATTTTGCATAAGTTGCCTCGACTTAATAGAGAAACACCTGAGTCACTAGAAGACTTAATCGACACATTTAGACAACATATTCGTGCATTAAAAAGCCTATTGAGCATGCTATTAGCTACATTATATATATATATATATATATATATATATATATATATATATCTAATTTTATCAAAAATTAGCGAAAACACCAAATATCAATGGGAAACAAACTTACCGGACAATAAAATGCCATCATATGACAACCTTTTAGATTTCTTAGAAAAAAAGGCGAGTTGTTCAGACAATACATTTTCGGCATTACGAGATCCATTTAACAAGACTAAAGACAATAAAAACCTAGGAAAACCTAAATTGCAATCGCGAGGACAAACGCTTGTTATTGCGAATAGTTCAAACAAGGTGCAATCTAATTCCTCTAATAAAACAAAGGGGTTAAGCGTATGGCCAATTAATACTTATCCGTGTCCTATTTGTCAGAAATTGTACAAGGTATATAAATGTAATAAACTCACTTCAACTACAGTCGAACAAAGAAAGGAACTTGTAAAAAAGCCCTCATTATGTTATAATTGTTTGGGATCGAATCATCAAGTTGGGAATTGTAAGGGTGGCACGTGTCAGAAATGTGGTAATAAACATTATACTGTTTTACATAACGAAGGTAGTCAAGACGTCTTGACTAAAGTCGGGCCTTATTACCTCATTATCTATCGTCATTCCTACAGCCCTTATAAATATCCTCGATGCAAACAATTAAAAAATGTATTGTCGAGCGATATTGGACACGGGTTCACTGCAAACTTCGCTTTAAAACTACGTCTTACAACAGTGACTAACAAATGGGTCACAGCCACTATACAATCACCAAGGATCACATCAAATATACCAGATCAACAAATCAATCAAAAATACATTCAAATCCCTCAGAACATTCAACTTGCCGACCCGGCATTTCACCAATCAGCACCAGTCGAAGTATTGCGGCAGGCATATCTCTCTATCTTATGTGTATTGGCCAAATCAAACTGTCACCTAAGAAAAAGCCAGCGCTTTATATGCAAAAAACTTTTTTCGGACGGGTTGTTGGTGGGAAAATATCTAATACCACTTTATCGAAGTCCACAATGTGTTGCGTGGCGTCATAAAATAACGATATTAATCGATATTGGGAAATTGAAGAAGGTCCCAAAATTAAATACTTATCGAACGAAGAAACCGCCCGCGAAGAACACTTTACAAAATATGTAAGTCGCACGGAAACAGGAAGATACGAAAAGAAGAAAAATCTCGGTGATTCGCGTGCCATAGCTGTAAAACGTTTATTAGGCATGGAAAAACGATTTAAATCAAATACAGAATTGTATCAACAATACTCAGCTGTCATTAAAACAATCCAGCCGAACCACAAAGGTATGAGTTGTTTTTGACGGATCTGCGGCGTTAATTAGTGAAACATCGTTAAACGACACTCTTATGGTCGGGCCAATACTACAAGATGATCTATTTTCATTAGTACTTTGGTTCAGAATACCGACAGGTTTTAATACTAGATGAGGATCAAAAATATTTAGTTCTGTGGCGAGACAAGGACAGCGTGATATCTACTTATCAATTAACAACAGATACGTTTAGCAATTCTTTGCATTCATTGACTAGCTGAAGATGAAAAACTAAATTTTCCACTAGCAGCCGAAAGCATCAAGAAACGATTTTATGTTGACGACTATCTGGATGGAGCTCAAACAATAGAAGAAACCATTAAATTACGGGGCGATGTAATCAAATTGTTTAAATCTGGGGGTTTTAATCTAAGACAATTTGCATCACATGTCACATAAATAAACAATTGTTAGATAAAAATGACGCCAATCTTAAAACGTTAGGAATGTACTGGAA